TGAAAATTTAACAATTCTGGCTGATTTGAATCAACCGACTAGGTACGGAAAAAATACTCACTCTTTGATAGACTTTAGTCTAACAAACGATAGTGCGTGTCAATTTTTAATACATCAAAATTTGATATCTGACCATCTACCTATCATCGTCTTTACCCCCGAAAAAGACCTTGATACGAGGATAAAGAACAAAGAACTCTACCGTAGAATAAATAATTCCTCAATTTGCCGTTTACGTTACGCTTTGTCGTCTTGTTTCTCTTGGAATTATTACTATACCTCAAGTTTGACAACTGATCAATTAGCTGACTATTTATACACCATTTTACTCGTTTTTATTGATAAATATCTTCCGACTAAAGAATATGTGAAAAAAAATAAAACTAGCAGGAAAGACTTCTTAAAGAATTTTATATCTGAACATACGCTCGCATTAATTACGTAAACAGAAGAAAACTTTACTTAAAACAGTCAAAAATAAAAATTGGACTACTTTTGAAGAACGAAACAAACATTTAGAAGATATACATATCTTGAATAAACAAATTAGAAAAAATATCCGTAATGAAGAGAGAAACTATTATAGTCTTGTGTTTTCTAATGTTAAATCTCCTTCTGACTTCTGGAAAAGCATTAAGACGTTACCCTTTCAGGTAACCAGGACAAAGAATAAGGCTAAAATAGATCATTTGAATTACAAAGGGAAAATGATAAATGATGAGCGCACTTTTAGTGATATTTTTGCCGAGCACTACAGGTCGTTGGAAGGCTTTGCTCCGGACGTCCTCGGCAATATTAACTCGAAGCAACATATAACAAATGTTAGTATTTCTAATACTTTCTTTTTGGAAAATACCACGGCCTTAGAAGTCTATAATACTATAGAAAATTTGAAAAACAGCACTCCAGACATCAGTTTCTTAAATATTAAAATCTTAAAACACATATCCGATATTTTAGCTCAACCTTTATCGTATCTGATAAATAAATCTTTTGAAAACGGTTACTTTCCAGAAAAACTAAATCAAAACTTAGTTTTGCCATTATATAAAAATAAAGGATCAAAAAGTGAAATTGAAAATTATCGTCCCATAATAATAGTGTCAGTGTTGGCTAAAATTTTCGAGAAGATTTTTTACAAGAGATTTTCAACTTTTATAGACAGATTCCAAGTTATTCACAGAAACCAATACGCATATAAACGAGGATTTTCGACGGTAGATGCTTTGTTGCATTTGAAACAATCCATAACGTCACAACTCGACAAATCTAAAATAGCAATTTCTGTTTTTGTGGACCTTTCAAAAGCATTTGATAGCTTAAATCACGAACTCTTGTATCAAAAATTGCAGACTGTTGGTCTAAGAGGGACTCCTCTAAGCTGGTTAAAATCATACTTGTCAAATAGAATTTACTTTGTAAAAATTGGACAGATTATCTCTAGCTCTTTCAGGCCAAACAAGGGCGTTCCTCAAGGTTCAATCCTGGGTCCACTGCTTTTCAATATATATATTAATGACTTGTTTAACTTTATACTAAAAGAAAATATATTGATGTACGCTGATGATCTAGTGATAACTTATTCTCATACAAACGCTATAATTCTTCAGGAGAATTTGAATCACATCTTAAAAATTTTAAACAGTTATATGGAAAACAATGGATTAGTAATTAACAAAAATAAAACTAAATTCCTCTGCTTTGCAAATAGGAATAAAATAATCAATCCGCATCACCTAAATATTAAAATAACTGATTTTAACATAGAAAAAGTAAATGCTATTAAGTTTTTGGGAGTAACTTTTGATGACAATCTGCGCTGGAATAAACATATAGATGATGTTGCACTTTCCCTGGCAAAGTATACTGGGATAAATAAGAAAATTCAAGCTTTTTTAAGCACATCACTCTCGAAACGGCTGTACCACACTTGCATCGAATCTAGAATAAGATACGGTATCGCTGTATGGGGAACCGCATCTCTATACGCTGTTAACAAACTTCAGATAGCACAAAATCGTTACATGCGTTCAATTTATAATTTAAACTTTATGGAATCAGTATCCGAACTCTACCGCACCGAAAATATTGACAAGATTAGTGATATTTACAAGAAACAGATTCTATTGGAGGGCTTCAAATATATAAAGGGAAAAAAAGAAAATAGCTTCCTCGAAATTGGTATAAGTGAATGTCGCAAATCAACACGAGATACTCGTATAATTCGTGAATATAGTTTTCCAATTGTTAAACTAGAGGTGGGGAGATCTGCACCGATCTTTCAATTAATCTTCTATTGGAATAGTCTGTACAACGATCTACGTAATATATCGAGTTACGAAATCTTCAGAAAAAATGTAAAAAAAAACGGAAAAAAACTTAAGACTCAATGATATTTGTTGTTAATTAATTTTCTTTCTCAGTTTGCGTCCTGTTTTTGTTTGTTTGTTTTGATTTCCTGTTAAGATGCTTGTAAAAGGCAAACCTGGCCACAGTGTCTTTTGAGAAAAATAAATAAATAAATAAATGAATTTTTACTACTGTATACAGTATGTACAAAATCCAGTAATCCAACAACTATCAGTCTGATATCTGTTGAATTACAGTCTACTGTAATTTTTTTTGTTTTACTTCAAACTTCTATGATAGGCTTAATTCATTCAGATATGATTTTATTAATGAGAATGAAAAACAATAAAGTGTGACCGTAGGGTCAGTATCTCTTCGATACCCCATCAGGATGACTCCACTGTATCCTTCGGTCAATAGAGACCACCAGTTTGCGCGAGCTGATAGGTATGAGGGTTGGACCCGAAATGGAGAGAAAAACGGAAGAAACTGCACTTGAGAAGGGTTTAACATAAACAACCATTTATTTATATATCTCTAACGTAGATTTACATTAGTAAATAAAATGCGAACATAAATTACATGAATCGTGTTCAGTTATCATTTTCTAGTTCTAGTTTCAGTGATCATTTCCTAGTTCTAATCACAACCAGTTTCATGTTTAGTTTACGCGAAGAGAGAGCGTACAATAGTGCACGGGCAGGATAAATACCTTAGGTTGTATAGGAGATCAAGTCCAGCACAAAAATAAAGGTCCAACAGTTCCTTCCAGTTGAGTAGGTATTGAGGTCAGTTGAGTTCAGTTCTAGTCTTGTAGGCGAGGAGGAGGTTTGGAATCTCGGGGGGAGGTAGACGATTGGAGCGCACACACAGTTACCAATAATAACTTCCACACTTACTCATCGTGCCTGTGCCCTTTTATATCAAGTCCTCATTTTCGAACCTTTCTCCGATTTTCGTCAGCCATGACGATCTTCTTGGTCCAATGAAGGGACGGGTGACATAATCGTGACACAGAAATGTACTCATCTCAACAAGGAACCCAACTCGTGGGAATCGAGTTTTTTATTGATTTTATTTTTCCTTTTTCTCTTTTAATTTTCTGTTTTCTCGTTCTGTCTTTATAAAGTTTATTAAAAAAGAAATTTTAGTTTATAACACAAAATTTCTGGTCCTCACAAAAGCAATTAATAGCTTCCCCAAATAACAACAAAGAAATCAGATTTGCAGCATAGAGAATAAAACTGAACTAATTTCTTTAATATATGATCATCTCAAACTGCTTTATTAGTTAAACCAAACAAATTGCCAAATTATTGAGCTATTGTGTGGCTAATATTAGAAACTAATTAATTTGTCTAGAGGTAGGCAGTTATGCCACAACATTTGTTAATTTATTATAATTATTAAAATTAACACGAGATGGTGGCATAACCACTTACTTCTAGACAAATTTAGTTTCTAAATTGTCATACATTTAATTAGTTTCTAATCATGCTGATCATTAACTTAGTCAAACAATAGTCCAATAATTTGGCTCTTTGTTTGGTTCAATTTCTTTAATTTCCACCACATGTTTTCTATTGGGTTGAAATTTGGACTGTTTGCTGACCAGTCCATTGTGTTACTGTGCTGTTGGCAAAAAGTGTTTAATAATTTGAGCTCTGACATCTTGGAAAGCTCATATGCACCAAGTCACACACCAAACACCTTAAGTGGCTAGAGGCCATCCACATTTATAAATCAACTCTCAATGACAACTGCATCAATTTTAGTAATGAGTTGGTTCTGTCATTAGCCTGGCAAGTGTTGATGGACTCCGAACTTTAAGGTCATGATATGTCAACCAGACGAATATGCATGCATCTCACATAACACAGTCTAATGTTTCTTGAATTTCCTTAATGGTTCGCTCTGTCTCATCAGTTATTCTGTTTCATACTTGAAGAACTCACAGCAGTTTGAAAACGTTTGTGGTGAACTTTATCTTTCGTTTTTTTTTATCACACTGGTTATAGGTTCTAAGAGTGCAGTATTTAACACATCCCGGTGTTTTGTGGTGTAGTTTATAATGATTCTTTTGATGTCATTATTTTCAAAGTACATTTTCTGTATACCTTAACCTGTATAAAGAAATTGACATTACAAGTAAATAAAATTTCTTACAAGTGGTTAAAATAAACCAGTGTTTTTCAACCTGTAACAAATCGTTGCCCCCTTCAATAAAATCGTTACGTAGTATCGCCCCCTTCGCTTCAAAATTCTGATGCCGAGGCCAAGGCTAATGCCAAATTCGTACTGCATTGAATAGACTATTGACTAATATAATGTTATTTGTTTAATTATTGTACGATATAATGAAAAAATATCTAATTATTCTTAATATAATGTTTTACTATATCGCCCAGAAAATTGTTTTTCGCACCCCCTGAAATATAAATTGTTACAAATTGTTCCTCAACATGGAAAAACGCCCACATGGGGACGATATCTCCCCATTGAGAAACACTGAAATAAATAAATAACAAAATAAAATTTATTATATTTATGTATTAATATTTACTTTTTCAGGAATATAAATATATTATATTCCTGAAAAAGTAAATATTTGTATTATATTTATGTAATAATACAAATATTTACTTTTTCAGGAAAATGAAGTCTGCTTGTATTTGGATATGTTGTGTGCTTTCATTATTTATTACTCAAGGTAAGATTTTATATATATTATCAGAATAGATCACAATAATAAATAATAGAAGTATTCTGAAAATAATGAAACTGCTTTGACAAGTGAATAACTTGTTTTAAATAAAACATCTTTACTGACTTTCCTGATGAAAATTTACTGATCTCACTATGTTGCAATTGATTTTTGAAATGTTGATTTTCAGATATATTTTTGATACTACAGTCGACCCCTCCATAAAATGGTAGATACGTTCGTTCTTTATGAAATTGCTGTTCTAAGAGTCCTTGAATACATGAGCCAATCACAGCCCGGCACATATGCAGTTTACGGACTACGGCTGTTTGAAAGGTTTTCTTCCATAAAATTAACCGATTCTAGACTAATTCGACTCAACATTTCCAAAATACATATAATTTTTTGGGAATAATCCATATAAACTATACTATAAACAAAAAATTGTAGGATTACTTACAGAGTCTGCACTGTTCAATGACACCATTGCTTAAGCTTGTTTTCATCGTGGAGCTTGTCATTGAATGGTGCTTGCGTGCTTCCTGATAAATTATTTTTTTTGCGAAAAATTATGTACTGTACATATGAGAAATTAGATTACATACAAAAGGCAGCGGCGCGACAGGGATACCACAGAAAAGAGATTGAGGCACTTATTAAAAGACTACAGAAGCAAAACCAGCAGCCTTTCGAAATTGATCAAAGAAAGAATGTGGTAATTAATTATTTTCCATTTCTAAACAAGATAGTTAGGAAAGTTGCCAATAAAAATAAGCTACGAATAATATATCGACGCAATCCAACTGTGTATAGAATGTTAAGGAATGACAAGAAGAAGGATAATCGAAATAACTTGACGGGTATATATTCTATACCTATAAAAGATTGTCTGTTTAATTCCGACCTCGTGTATGTTGGGGCAACTATGCGGAGTTTAAAACAAAGGATAAATGAGCATAAATATTCTGTAGGTAGGAACATCAATAGTACTGTTCTGGCAGCATTTGCCAAACAACAGGATGTAACCGTATACTGGGATCGTGCGGCGATTGTTAGGGCCACGAGATCATTACAAGCGGTGAAGCATCTTGAAAAAATAGAAATACATAAAGTGCATATAGCCACGGAATGTATTAATCACAGAGATGCAGAAGGTTTGGCAACTGCTTGGAAGTCATTTTATACTAACACAAGTTAATATATGTAACCATAATTATTTATTTAAGTTTATTTGTTTATTTTTATTTATTTATGTATTTTTATTTTTTCTGTTGTTCTACGCAGCCACAGTTTAATTTTATTTAATTTTGTATTACGTAAATTTCAAATACTTTGTTCTTTTTGATATTGGAGTAACTGATGAAGGCCGCTAAAATCAGTCGAAAACGTTATTAGAGAATTAAATGTTTTTGCTGGACCATTAAAAAGGCGTTGTTTACTTATATTATTTGATTTAGTTCCAGTAAGATTTTTTGAATATCAGAATGCAAGAAGGTAATAATTGGAGATGTTATGAAAGAAATGGTTGAGAAGGTGCACAGTGGACAGAGTTTTGGAGCTAAGAATGAGGAAGTAATCCAAATTTTCGAGATGGCAATGGCCTAAATACCTTTTATGTAAAGGGAATAGTTCATCTGGTGACTTACAAGAGTAGTGGGAGAAAATCACAGATTGACTGTTTTAATCACGAATGATTTGAAGATGTGTAAAAATTGCAAAGTGATACCAGGAGAAAGCTTTAGCATTCAACACAGGATGTTTGTGATGGATGAAGATTGAAATACAGGAGGAGGATAGGTTGGTTTTCCAAAGATATGATGGTGGAAATTGAAGAGTGAAAAAGAATTTAGGGAGTTGTTTCAGTTGGACTGTTGGGATTTAGAATTGGATGTAAATACTGCATGGAAGATGATTGAAAGTATTGTGATGGTGGGAAGAGAGGTGATTGGTGAGACTAAGGGCAAAGGATGTGTTGGGAAAGAATCTTGGTGGTGGAATGAGGAAGTGCAGACAATTATTAAGGAAAAGAAAACTTTATTCAAGAAATAACATAAAATTGGAAAAATGGGTGATTACAGAAAGTATAAAGAAACCAAAACAGGAACTAAGAGAGCAGTTTGTAAGGCCAAATAGTCTTAGATGGAGTTTATGAGAAATTAGAGATGAGAGTGTGAGAAGGCAGTATACTGGCTAGCCAAAATAAGAGAAAGGAAGAGCAGGGATTTTGGATAGATATGCTGCATAAAGGATGAGAACCAGAGAGTGCTAATTGATTAGAGAGCATTGGAAACTATACTTCTATAATCTACTGAACTTCCAGTCTAAGGTTGAAATGGATCTGGAGATGGACAAAAAGGAAGGTGGGATTGAAATAATAACAAGAGGTCAAAATTGCCCTGAGTAGAATTAAAAATGGGAAAGCTGAGGACCCAAATGGAACACTGGTAGAGGTAGAGACATGGAAAGCATATGACAACAGAGATCATGAATGGCTAACTGGATTATTTAGTAAAATTTTGAATATGGGAAATATGCCAGAAGAATGGTGAAAAAGCTATCTAATTCCAGTATATTGAGAACAAAGGTGACATTCAAGATTTCTCAAGTTAGAGGCTTAAAGTTGATGAGCCAAACTGAAAATCTGGGAGAGTTATTGAGAGAAGGCTGAGAATTGTTTGGACATCAAGTATGGGCTTATTCCAGGAAGATTGACATCAGAGGCCATTTTCCTCATGTCCAACTGATGGAAAAGCACCGAGAAGAGAGATTTATACGTGGTTTTCATTGACCTGGAGAAAGACTACAATAGAATCCCAAGAGAAGTGATTTGGTGGGCATTAAGGAGTAAAGAGGGATATAGTAAGGTCATTGATGATATGTACTGTACAAGGGTATATAACAAGTGAGCAGTTAGCAATGGGCAATGGTTAACTTAGTGACAGAAACTTAAAAATTTTGCATTCTTAGCAAGCATATGATTTTGTGGATACTTTTTATTATTTTTTTGTAAATATTGGTAAAAATATATAAATATAAATATGGTTGACTAATGAGGTATGAGTTATAAGAGTTACAAACTGAGTTATTTCCAACTTAGAAAAAAGGAAATATTTTTGAATGATTTACTGTAGCATTGTTAATTATTGATATTTTGTCAGAACGGTTAACAAAGCATATCCAAGGAAAGCAGTTCTGTGAAAACAAAATCTTTTAAAGAAGTTTCATACTTTTTGGTGTTAATTTATATTGTATTTAATGTATAATGTAATGAATTTTTAATTTTATATAATTGTTTTTGTTTTTAAGTGTATGTGGTAATTTTGGAGGTAGTATTAACTGTCCTCCAAGACTTTTCTATTTACTTGTAAAAATACCCATAAATAAAATATGTAATATGCATAAATATGTTTGCTAATTACAAAATCATTCTTTTAACTGGTTTAACTCATTTCTTAAAAAAATATTAATTAAATTTACTGGGTAGATCAATAGAAAAGAGTGGTGATTTTTATAAAGTAAAAAAAAAATTGTATTTTGTCTATTGTTCATCTTACAGTGGAACCCTGGTTAACGAACGTCCTGATTAATGACCAAATCGGTTAACAAACTTTTCTGTATCTGGACTGCTGTATGTTACTATGTATATAATTTGTCTCTGTAATCCAAAAGGTTTTTTGGTAGGCGGACTCACAGCACTTTTAGTTAGGAACTCACTTTTATTCTTTAAAAAATGACATATGCATTTCGGGTTAGTATACTCATCCAAACACATCTAAACACTAACCATTTATGGTTTTCTTTAAGAGTAAGTAAGTAGTGATATTCTGTAATGTATTTATGTCATGTATTGGTTACTGTAACTTTTTATTGTTTTTTGAAAAATTAGCATTGAAGAGGGGTTGGATGAGTATACTAACCCGAAATGCATATGTCATTTTTTAAAGAATAAAAGTGAGTTCCTAACTAAAAGTGCTGTGAGTCCGTCTACCAAAAAACCTTTTGGATTACAGAGACGAATTATATACATCATAACAAACTTTTATTTTGCAAAAATTTTGTCTCGGATAACGAACAAAATTCAGATTATGAACTTAATGGCTTTTTGTGTCAAATTTGTAAGCTTGCTTTCACAAAACTTTCTGAACCACTTACAGCACGTGGAATCATCAATGGCTCCCTCACCATACACAGAACATATCTTTTTGTGTCTGTGAGGCATTCTTGCCTTTTCGGAAATAAAAAAGCATAATATGTCAAAAATGCTCCTTATTTTTTGCCATTTGTAATGCTTAACAAAATTTTAAAAACACAACTTTATTCTTAAATACTAGTTGAGATCCCTTTTGTCAAACAACATGAAAATTTTACACATGTGAAGGAAATAAACTTCAGTGTTGCATTTTTAGCCAGCTGGTGCTAAAAACGGGGCAAACTTTTGCATCAACTCAATAGTTTCCACCGTTCTGGAACCTCACAAATTTCAGTTGCTCTTAGATGTGCACGAGGTAAGCATTGCTTTTTCGAGTTTGCTAAACTTCGTTTTTTTAGTTTTGTTATTTATACTGTATATTTAATCAATATGGCACCAAAGAAAGAGAAAAGTGACAGTGGAAATAGAAAACATTTTAGTGTAGCATTAAAGAAAGAAATTATTGCAAAATACGAGAATGGTATTCATGTTTCTGACATTGCTAAAGAATATAATGTAGCAAAATCGACTATCTCTACAATTATTAAAAACAAAAAAGCATTTAAGGCTGCCAAAGTGGCTAAAGGAGTGAATGTGATATCGAAACAAAGATCTAAAGTTTTAGATGAACTTGAAAAACTGTTGCTAATATGGATCAATGAAAAGCAACTTGCTGGAGACAGTGTTAGTGAAGCTATAATTTGTGCAAAGGCTAAAAATTTATACAATGACTTATTGACCCAGACACCAATACAAGTGCAGACAGGCAGGACTTTAAAGCGAGCTGAGGGTGGTTTGATAGGTTTCGTTGACAAAC